GTGGGGGGGTGGGAGGCAAAGTCTGATTCTCTAGCAGTCTACACAGTGACTACCAGGGAAGCTGAAACACATTTTTTCATGCATTTTTTGGAAATTCAGGAATACAAACAACAATTTTCTTCTGGCAAGGTTAGTAAATTAAGTTTGTGAGCTGGGAGGGGAAGTGCAGTAAGAAACAAACTTCGGCCACAGTCATCAGACTGGTGCCATCAGAGAAGGCATGTTATTAACCCTTTGTTTGCCTTCCCCATACCCCTGTTAACCTTGCTGAAGTGTGAATTCTTTCCAGAACTTAGCAAGAGCAGAGGCTTTTTTTGTAACACCAAGGAACAGTGATTTCTTTACTGTTTTTTTTAAGTGTGGAAAGATTGGCACTTTGCCTTACAATGTAAGTCAGATTTCAGAATGGTCTTTACAGTGCTGTGCATGTGTGTGTCTCTCTCTTTCCCCACCTCAGGGACATATAAAAGAAAGGTGTATTCTTCTTTGTAAAGAGACCTTGGTGCTGTGGAGTGTTAGAAAAATGGGACTTTTATGTTGCTTAAATTGTTCATTAAACTTGTTTCCTCAGAGCGTACAAAAACTCACAAAGTGAAGCAGCATTGTCCTTCTTGGACCTTTTTCTAAGGTACTTTATTTCTGTCTCCATCTTGCTGCACAAGATTTTATCATCCTACCCCAAAAAAGCACACTGCAGGCTTCATCTGCAGCAGGAGGCAGGCTTCTCATGAATCCAGATATACCAGTGCTTCCAAAAGGGTCAAACAGGAGATTTGTTCTCCTTAGTAGCTGCTCTTACTCACCTTTGTGTTGGCCACCTGAGACCTCAAAGTGGCATTTGATTGCGTAATCAGAGGTAGAAGACAGTGGTCTTCAAGTCTTCCTGGTCAGCCTTTCTGCTATGTACCACTGAGCTCCAGGAGATGCAGGACTGGATTCTGTTATACTGTCCTGTGTCTGTGCTCTGTCAGTACACCCCTGCCCTGTGTGTAAATGAGATTCCCCCGCCACTCCACCCCCAAAAAATGTGTCATGGTATTTGAGATGCAATTTATTTTTCTACCAAGAGCCAAGGAAGTTTTTCCTGCATCTCACAAAGGAAAGGAGGTTACTGTCCTTGCTTTCTTGATACATATTGCTGTACCAGATGATCAAAGTTCCTTTATTATAGTATTCAGTCTCCAACAGAGAATGACTAGAGCACAAGATAAGACTACATTAAGCTGTAGTCCAGAAGAGCAGATTGTGTCTGAGGCCTGTTCTGGATTTCAAGGCCCTGTATATCTTTGTCAAGAAACTGAAGTTCCATACAGTTTCCATTATCTTTTTTATCTGGATTATGGTGCTTAGTATGCAGAATACTCAATTTTTTGTATTTGTTCATCAAGTCGTAGGAGATATATGAGGCTTGTAATCATCACTAGAACAACAGAACCCTTTGGTCTTTACAGTCTGTGGAGGTTTCTATACCTAGCTCATTTGAGGCCACTGCAAAATGGCAAAAAGATACCCAATTAAATGTCTTATTCATTGTGGCTTAATAATAACAGATGAGACAAATTGGCTCTTGCTTGACCAATAGTTCCACTATTTATAGCCGTTCTTCCTTAGAACATAACTACTATCTTAATTCAGCAGATTCTGCTCTATTTTAAATCTTCAAATCTACTTCTATTTTACACAAAGACAAAAGCAAGGAATTGCTTAGTTCCAAGACACATGGCATCCTGTGAGTGTGATTGAGCATGCCAGAGGTCAATTACAGCTGAAGAGGTATTTCACATGTGTACATCAGTATTGCTGTCATCTGTTGTTGATAATGTTGTAGCTGCAGAAATTCCACTGCTCATAGACTTGCTGGAAAACTCAAGCTTTCAAAGAAATATTTTGCTCTGTTTCTGACAAAGCCTAGGACTTGTTGCAGCCATTGTTGGGGCGAGTCTCTTTTAAGGAAAAACATCTCTGCTTGGATGTCTGTCCTGTCTGTAATCAGTCTAGATTTGAGTGCAATTATACATCAAGCAGAAATTCCTGTCTTTCATCGGGCATCTGGTGATTAACCTCCTAGTTAATCCTAGCGCGTAGTATGCAGCTAACTTACCTCAAATAAGTTGCGTCTGAACCTGGCCACTTAAGTTCTGAGGCTTTGTAACTGTGGAATAACCTCTTGTGAAAAAGCCTTCTCCTCCCCCCCCCCCCCCAAGACTGTGTATGGACTCAGTATCAGCAGAAGATAAGAAAACCAAGAACAGTCTTTGAAAATAGATTCATTTTAAGCAAGGGAGGCTACCCACAGCACATCTGTTTGTGTCAAAATGCAAAAAAGCTACAGGCAGGGCTTCAGTTTGTGTCAGTCTGTGGTTTCCCTGAACCGTGGTAGCAAGATGTTATGCTTTTCTGTTAACTTGCTAGCTTGCTGGTTAGTCTTTAATCAAAGCCTCAACTTGTAGGAAGGGCTGAATCTTTTAAACTCTCCCTAGATGAGTTTGAGGTGGGGAATTTCAAGATGAGAACCAATAGACAAGAGGCATGTTGTGGAGCTGCTTATCTTGAACTTATGAGCGATACCTCCTCATGGTCAGTGAGAAATCCCCGACTGGAGCATTTAGTGGAGATTGCTCACAGGAACTCCAATGGTATTTGACAATTCTGCATTGCAGTCTCTGAAAACTCTAAACTCTCTCTGCTGTGGGAGACTGCTGTGTCTAAGAAATTAGTATTACAAAGTTTTGGCACGGGGTTTTGAAAAATTTTCCCCTTACACATTACCATGCCTATTACTGACTCCAGAGAAAGTCCAGATAAAGTCAATGTATCTGCTCCTAAGGATGAACAAGCTTAATAGTTTTTGTCTATTGGAGAAGAATAAAGAATAACCAATTCAATGAGAATATATTAATTCTTTCTAAATGCAAGTTTACAAAGTGGAATGCTTACAAAATTCATCGATTAGATGCTTAAGCAGATTTAAGCCTAAGTTTTAAGGATCTCTTTCTCCTGGCGGGTATCTGGAACTGTATGATAGGAATATAAGCATCATACACTCTACATGAAGAGATCAGTAAGAAGAGCGTTCACTATGGCTAATATGCGATGAGTAGTGAACTGGTGAAGGGAGATAACCAAACATATAAGTTTATATAGTAATTCTGAGCAGTAGAATTCTCTAGAGAATTCTTTTCTGAACTTCAGCAGCTAAGTAATTCCTTTTCTTTTAAAACTTAGTTACGGTGGTGGTGTTTTAGAGTAAGTAGCAAAAGCTGCTATACATGAAGTTGTAGGATGAGCTGATCTGATCTAACTGCTCACCTCTGCTGAAAGGGAATGTCCTAAACCTACCTGTGAGCTCTGGCACTTGTTCATTCTTCCCCTGAGCCAATACATCTCACTAATGCAAAGGAAAAAAAAAATTGAGGGTGGGGGTGGGCTTCTGCTGGATTAGTGAATTGATCTGGCTTATGGAAGGCTCAGCCAAGCACTGCAGCTGCTGCAAGGGCAGGGTGGAAGAGGAGCCTTTTGCTTGGAGTGCAGGAGTGGAGAAGGAAGGTGGAAGAGAATGATCTTTCTGTAGTGAGTGGTTGATATCATCTCAGCATTTTGTATCACTTAGTCTACTTTTCCAGGAGATATGCTAGAGCTGATTTCCTCTACCCACAGCATCTTTCTAAAAGGAGTCAGTTTATATGAGTTCAAAGAGAGATACAGCAAATATGAGGAAGAACAATCTGCTGATGTTTGGTCTGTAAAAGACCACAGCTGTCTCGGGAAACTACATGATCTTAACATAGCTGGAGTTTGGGGAGGTGTTGAGTCAGTGGTTATTATATAGGCGTTTCCTATTTTTCCTGTCTCCTAGGCACCTGCTACTGACCACTTTCCCCCTCCACACCCCCTGCCCCGCCTACAGTTATTGGAAAAGTTACATGTGAATAATTCCTCTTGGCATTTTAAATTTCATGCCAGCAGTGGGTTGTGTGACATGCATGTAAGACAGGCTGATAAGTTCAGCATTTCTTTGCATCCAGATTAGCTTATTAAATCAACTAAAGCCTGATCATCTGATTCCTAGTTTTCTTTCATTTCAGGTTACTTTGGGCTATAGACTTATGCTTCCTTGCTCTCAAAATACGGTTAGAGATAGTGTCACAGCTTTGTTGGCTAAAAATGTAAGGAAATAAAATCTTGTAAGGGTGGGGTTTTGTTTTGTGTGTTTTGTTGTTTGTTTGTTTGGGGTTTTTTAATTATCTGGGTGATTTAGTTGGGAAAATAAAGTAGAAGTCTTATGAGCATGTTTGTACCATGACAGTCCAAGAGGCCTTCTGGATCAGCTGAGCCTCCTCTGTACTCCTGTTCAGTACTGAATGTGCTAAGCAACTAATGGCCTTGGAGTTTATGTGATGAGTTTACATGAATTGGAATGCAATCTTGATTTCTTACCAGAACAGGTGGTACAGGGTGATACTGAAAATATGGTTCCAAGAGGTATTCCTGCTTTTGAAACTTCTGTATTTGAAGGCGGGAGAAGAAAAAAATGCCTTTGTCGAAGGTGGAGTGGTATGTGACAAATGACAATGTCAATTTTCCATTGGCTGCTGACTATTTAATTGGCTGAATTGTAAGCAAAAATGAAAAATGCTCAACCATAGGTAGAGCATACTGTGTAAATGAGGGAGGTAGGCAGAACATTTTTCAGAAATTTACCATGGTACAAGATAGCAATGCCTTTTTTCCTTTTTTTTTTTTCTTTTTTTTCCTTCCACAAAACACATTGCTCCGTTGTGTTTGAGACTCAAATGAAAAAATTGGCATAAGCTGTGTAACTGAAGGGGGCCCTGTTCTAAGTGGTGCTATCCTCGACTGGGTTTTATGTTTCTTAACATATTTGTTCTTGTGATTAGTTTGGGTTTGTGGTACCTTTCCTTTCTGCTCTGTCAGTAATTGGAAGGGCTGATTAGAATGTATGGTATTTTCATATCCAGTCTGGCCTGCTGCTTTTGAGAGGGAAGAAAAAACCTTTAGGGTTTGATTTTGTGGCTACTTTGTATTAGGGAATTGAGGACCTGGAGAATAAGAATCCTTTCAGATAACCAAAAGGGACATAGTTGCAAAGTCTTTTCCTTTGTGTGTTTTCAGTGTGGAAGAGTTAAATATTTCTAAAGAGAAAAATATTTTGTGTGTTCGCTAAAAATGAACCTCAAGCACAGGAAAAATTCGTATATATGACTGTGCAGGTCGGTATTGAAACAGGAAATACAGGAGGGTCAGAGCATAAACATTTGGAAGAGGGCTGACAAATACAACATGACTTATTACCAAGCTCATCCCTACTCCCCCAAAAAAGAGACACTTCCTCATCCAAAAAAACTGAACAACTGTTTGTAAAAGGCCATGTCAGTAAGAATAAAGAACTGAAAAGTGATGAGAGATGTGAGTGAAGTTTTATGATGTGAATCAACTTGGAGAAAGGTTTCAGTGTATCTAGAAAAAAAAAAAAGTCCACATGGAAAAATTCTGACATTTGCTTAACTTTGTGACTTAGTTGGGGGTATTATTGCAGTAAATTTAGTGTTACATTTAGCAGCACTAGTGAACTGAATTTTGTTGCTAAGCTTGATAGCACATGAAAAGTATTATGTTAGTAAAAATCAGTTCTTTCAAATCAGCCACTCTGTGGAAACAGCCCTGAAGAGGAGATGCATTTGTTTTATGTCCTAATTATGTCAGTCATTTGATTTTAATATTTAGGGTTAAATAGAAAAAAGGCAGTTTCTGAAGGAAAACTTGGAGTAGACAAGAGAAGTTGAAACAATACATTAAGACACCTGCAGTAAATTATCTCATTTTGAAACAAACAAAAAAAAAATCTAAGAAATATAAGGGTGCAGTGTTCTAATGATGGGAACAGAATTTAGGAGAATAACAGAAAAAAAATCCCTTTATTTTTAGTTCTTAACATGTCTGTAAATAACTGCAGGTGCCTGCAGACCAGTATGTGGTTTTGTTGCTTTGATCCAGTTTAAATAAAGTTAGTATCTTTTTGTGCACAAACTTGTATAGAAAGAATGAAGAACACAGATTATAAATCATGGAAATTTCATTTTCAGCCACCTGCCTAACTGGATAATAATAAGCCCAATAACCTAATGGTCAGTATTATTTTCACAGCTTAAGGTGATGAAGTTTCAGGATGAGTTAGAGTCTGGGAAAAGACCCAAGAAACCAGGCCAGAGTTTTCAGGAACAGGTTGAACACTATAGAGACAAGCTGCTCCAGAGGGTAAGAAATGTTCTTTATGTTTGGCTCTGATTCTGTGATAGGCTTTTATTGAGTTTATCAAATGTAAGGTGGCATTAAGTATAACAGCACATGGTTCTCGTTAAAATTCTACTGTAATGTCAAACTGCATGTCTAAGTCCAAGTGCTTTCTGCAGAGTAGATACAACCTCTCTTTTTAATCAAAATAATGTAGTATTTCACACGGTACAGATGGGTATTGTTAGAATGTGTTGAAACCTTAAAGAGGTCACTCCTGGATCTACTACGTAAGGCAAACTGTTAGGTGTGGGAAAGAAAAGGGAGAGCTATCAGTTGAAGATGTTCCTCAGGCTTTTCATTTTGCTTTTAGTAATTGATCTGTTGTGCTAAAGGCTTCCAAAGGAAGAGAAAGAATAGTATTAAGCAGCATATGTGCTTCTGATTCTCCAGTGTCTAAGATTTCCTGGATAATTCCAGCTCATAGTGTCACCCAAAAGTGATTAATTCTGTACCATTACCATTTTTGGTAGTCCTCTCTGGACTATGAAGTCAGAGCGGCTTTAAAAATTAGCATCATATATGTGATGTCATGTGATCTTGAATCTTTGAAATACAACGAAATAACATGTAACCTGTCTGGACAACGCGTTTAGTGAGAGAAAGTGGCAGGTGCTTCTCTGATCTGGTTTCACAGCCTGACAGATCAATGATGAAATTAGGTACCCATGCAGTTTCTTGGAAGCTAAATACAAATACACAGTTTTCACCAGGTGTTTGTCTGTCACTTGTTCTTTGCATTATTTGGTGCTCAATATCTGACTAATTTTGCTAAAGCACTTTTGCACAGTACCTTGAAGAGAGAGACTTGTAAAAATGAAGAAAGCTGATCCCTGAAGGAGATTTACACATTTGGAGGTTGATGTTAGCAGTTAAGACTTACAAAAATTAAAGTCACTTTCCTTTTAAATGTAGTTGTATCCTAAAACTTCTCACTTCCCCAGTGTTTTCTGTAATTGGAGAAAGAAGTGATTTGTACAGGAAGCACAGAATGTGTAGTGAGGCAGTAGCTTAAAAAAACAGAAATCGTAATCCTGATAACTTTGTTAGATGTCTTATATTGAATTAGTTCAACCAGCTTCCAATATTTTAGATTTTTAATAATTATCTCACTTTCACTTTCAATGATGAAGGTAATATTTAGTTAAGAAATATTTAATGATAACAGGTGTTCTTTAAAACAATAACCCCGTTGTTAAGGGAATATCTTTTGCTTTAATGCCATAGCAAAGTTAGTTTGTATAATAATAATGTAATGCTGGTTCTGATTGCATTTCCCACAAACTTGGTGGTTGGTTGTAACTTTTTGCATAATTCACTGTAGAATAAGCTTTCCAAGAGTAAATTTCCTAGTAATATTGTATATTGTTAAGAGAATAGGAACTTACAGCTATTTAAAATACTGTTTATTCCTGTTTATCAAGACGAAATAATTAGGTATGCTATCAAATAAGCTAGGCACATCTTAAGAGCCCATTGCTTTTAGTGGAATCTAACAATAGTTTGCAATAGTAGGCATAATGATAAGGGACGCTTTAAAATTTTACTAGTGTCTTCCATGTAAAGAAAATGTGAGACTAGATTAGTATAGCTGTCCTGGTATTTGCTGCACTTGTGTTATTATCTGCCCCCACCCCCCACCTTTCTTTCATTTAGCTAAATCACCCATTCTTTGTGTTCTTTATGAGGTATGCAAGGGAATATCTGTTTATTTTTTGCCGTGGAAGGATATATTTTTAATGCCAGTGCTGAAAGAAGCACATCTCTTGCTGATGGTTTATTTTTATATAATTAATTTTTCTAACTATTTGACAGACAAACGAGGTGTGCTCAGGTGTACTCATTTTCTTTCAAAATGGTCCTGTTGGTGTATAGAAATGGACCATATTTGTGGGTTTTCTTGACAGAGTAGATATTATTGCAGAATCTTGTTTGTATTTTTGTTTTGTCTTTAAATGTCTTGCAGTTATGAGATTATCTCAATTTTCAGTCTGGATTAATGAAGATGAATGCATATGTTTTAAGTAGAAAGAGGTTCCTGGTATTCTTTCATGTTTAATTTAGTTTAGAAAATCTGTTACAGCTGTAATGTTTCCCTGAAATTTGTAAAAATGAAGACTGTTCATTTCCAATTAGATACTCAGACTTTCTCATGTAGGGTGACATTTTCCATGTTTTTGTCAGTGTTTGTGTTACAATAAATATTTCTGCTGTGTATAAAGCAGTAGTAAAGATTTGGAGAGTGGCTATGGTGAGACCATTAGATCTTTCCTAGATTATGTGCTGTTTCCCTTCAGTGCTCACTGCTTTTATGCTGTTTCTGATTAGCTTTGATTGTCTTTTCAGATGAGGTGTGACTAATTATTAAGTAATCATGAATGCTTCTAATAATTTAGGAAAAAGAAAAAGAGTTGGAAAGAGAACGGGACAGAGACAAAAAGGATAAGGAAAAATCTGAATCCAGGTCCAAAGATAAGAAGGAAAAGGAGGAATGTACACCAACAAGAAAAGAGAGGTATGGCTTTCCTTGGAGTAAAGTGGATGGGAGGAAGAACCTCACAGTATCTTAGTATATGATGGCAGCCTTGAAATTATGTTCTATCATGCATCTTATTTTAAAGGGAAAACATAAAACCACCCAAACAAAAAAACCCACCTAACAACAAAAAAGCAAGCTTTGGATGTTAAAACATGCTTTAAAATTTTGAAGGAATTGCCATTTTTTATCCTGTCCCAAGTGACGTACCCTTTTGAATAGAATCCCCTTTTGGCTCACTTAGGCCCTGAGGAAACGTGGTAAAATAATGTCCAGTTGAAAACAGGGTATATTTAACTCTCTTTTAGCAGTAAATTGACTGCAGTGTATTAGTCAGAAAACTGTACTGAAGTCATACCACAAATAATTTGTGGTGGTTTAAATATTATTAATCTCATAGTGAAAATTCTTCAGCTATTTTTAGGGTAGTTGATTGTACACTCTGATCTTCTGATAATTGTATAGCCAAATTCTTCCATGGTATTAAGTGTAGATATGGTAAAATGCCTTGCTTTTCAGGAAACTATAACAGAATGTTTTTACACTGCAATAAACAAAGATGAGTCACAGGCCTTAATTTTTTTTCAATCAGAGAAAATCTGGTGCACATGTTGAACTTGATTTTTTTTTTAAGTAATAAAAAGCCTAGTACTTTTTAATTACTTAAAAGGATCTAATGTTACATTGGCAAAAGAAAATATCTGCAAAAAGGAATCTATTTTCTTAATATACATTTTCACTTCTCTGTGCGTCTCTGCTTGTGTATGTACATAACTGTATTTGCTTCTTTACAAAGGAAAAGACGACACAGTGCTTCACCTAGCCCATCTCGCAGCAGTGGCAGTAGACGAGCAAAATCTCCATCACCAAAATCGGAACGCTCAGAGCGCTCTGAACGGTCCCACAAAGAGAGTTCACGTTCTCGGTCATCGCATAAAGATTCTCCCAGAGATGTCAGTAAAAAAGCCAAAAGGTAAGCTGGTATCTTCTCTATTTCAGGTTGTAGGAAAGTTAAGTACATAGGTGTGTTTTGGCTGAGTGTTTTTCTTCGTGTGTTTTTTAGCAGAGCATATTTGATACGCAAGTATTTTCTCTCGTAATGGACTGTACTGCATATTCCTGGTTAATATCTTTGGACACTTGGTGTCTGAAATGTATACAGCTTCCTGTCTTGACAGCTCAAGACTCTTTCTTGTTTACGTGTTTACTAATAATTTTGAGAAATACTGCTTTAAACCAAAGCACCTTGCTGCTTTACTAGCTTTTTATTTTCAAAGGACAAATCTTCTGTAGCCCATAGAATTTCTAGAATTATAGTGAGCATGCAGTCTTTCACTGATGATTTACTTACATGAAACTCCTCTCCCATAGTTCGTTTTTTTTAATGGCGGGGGGGGGAAATCTAGATGAGATACTGCTTACGGGTTTTTGTTTCCAAAGTAGGCATTTCCTAATCTCCAGACTGACACAAGTATTTGTGTCTAGTTAATGTTAAACTTGGGGTGAGATTTTATCATTGTATTGATGCTTTTGTAGCTCAAAACTTGAAATTGCAGCTTCTACTTCTTTTAGAGGTGTAGAATGTATTATTGATATAAGATTCCTCAGACATGCTGGGGAAAACTGTGATGCTGTTGAGAAAATCGTAGTACATATTTACAGTAATCAGATTCTTGTGCTGTAAGTTAGGAATTCAAATAGAAGTAGAAAAGTATTTGAGATTTTGAGTTAATATGATGGTCATTCAATTCAGATTATATCAGATTAAAGTATTAGGTGCGGATTAGATGACAGTAAGTTTATTCAGTGCCCATTCTTTTTATGTGGGGTTACATCACGAGCTGAACATGTTTGATGAGAATCAAAAGTATTTCAGCATAACACAATTCAACAAAATTTTTCATTTCTGTTCTCTTCTATATGGATATAGGCTGCTATTAACACAAGAACCAAGGTGGTTGAGGCATATGTGGAAGGTTGTGAATTCCTTAATTTGGGTTAAGAAGGATATGACTTGGTCTTGTTTTTCTTGTGGGTTCTAAGCACTGATGTTAAGACAAAAATACGTTAAAAACCTTATAATGCAAAAATTGTGTTTTTTATCAAAAGCAACATATCATTCTGTTATTTCCCCTTACTAAAGAAAAATATTTTCTACCTTGTTTATCTCAATAAATGAATGCCAAATAGCTGCAGAAAAAGTTGGTATTATCAATTAGTATTTGATGTAAAATTTTTTTTTTCTTTTTTTTAGGTCGCCATCTGGCTCCAGGACACCCAAAAGATCAAGAAGATCACGATCCAGATCCCCTAAAAAGTCAGGGAAAAAATCCAGGTCTCAGTCCCGTTCTCCTCACAGATCTCACAAGAAGTCAAAGAAAAGCAAACACTGACAATGTTAATATTTTTTATGACGCTGTCACTTACTGGAAATGCGGTTTTGTTTTTGTGCCTGAACAGTCTGTTTAAAAAAACAAAAAAGCATTCCTGATGGTTTTGGTTTTTTTTTTTTTTTGTGAATGCACGTGTATACTCATGAGTATCGGCATCTGTAGACCTGTCATTGTTTTATATTGTACAAAATATCTTCATTGTGACTATTTCCCAAAAGAAACATTTTTGTGTTTAGAAGTTTCATCAGAAATGCGTGTAACTGATCTGCTGGCAGTAGTGATATTTTGTTTTAGAACGTTGTGACATAGCAGAAATAACTCAAATGTTCCCCCTTTTTGTAGCTTTGACAATTTGAATTAGATTTCAAATAAAATCTGAACAGAAAATTAAGATGTTGTTTTCTTGCCCCACTGGTGATACAGATCTCTAAAGGGATTCATAGTTTGTTTGGAAGTACTGTGTATTTCAGACATACTATGGTGCTTAGGTCTTTCAGTATAGCGGTAGCTCTGTTCCTGCCTTCACTAGTTGTACTATCCAGATAAAAGCACCTTTTGAATCCAGTGGATGTGTTTTCTTTCCTACCGTGATATTTTACTGTAAGAACAGTTGAACAGTCTGGTACCTACCATGATAAGCTTTACAAGTAAATCTTTGCTTTGTATTTCTCCATTTTAATTGCAGGGAATATTTGTGACACTAGAGCAATGTTTTTCTTTGTTTTTAAAAAAGGGCCTCTGCAGAGATGCATCATATGTATGTGTGTGTATATCATATATATATATATATGATGTATCAATAACAAGCCATTTTTATGGCATGCATGGGGAACAATAAAAGGACAGCAAGCCCAAGGGTCTGTGACTTCTTCCTTAAATATAGGTACAATAATTGCAACCTACAGTACACTATTGTTTTCTAAAACTGATTTTTACTCCAAAAGGATAGCTTTTACATTATTTTATTGAATTTATTCCTCTGTTGTGGGAATTCTTCAAAATGGGAAAAAATTAAATTTTTTATTACATATTTTATTTATTAATATTTTG